AAGTATATATATATATATATATATATATATATATATATATATATATATATATATATATATATATATATATATATATATATATATATATATATATCATTGGTATTTTATGTACAATAACACGGGTATTAATATTAAAAATAAAATGAATTGAACTATTCCTGTATTAGATAAATCATGACCATGTGGTGTTTACGGCATCTAGGCTACGTGAAGCGTGAAGTGACCTTTTTTTGTTTTTAGCTAATTCGATATTATACAAGGCATCCGTGGTAAAAATTAATGAAACCATGTTTATTCCCCCAAAAAGTCAAAAAATATAACACCTCATGTAACTTGGTTGAGTGGCAGATCTCTCGTCTGCATTCCGAGTCAACAAATACACAAGATGTAGAACCACACTTTTCCACAAACGACTCAAGAATGTTTAAAATATATAAACAAATATGAAATGTCTAGGTTGGTCGTCAATCCCCCGAGTTCTAGCATCTGAGACATTTTCAAATATTCACGTGTGAGTGGCATGCGTAGGCGTACAAAGCAAACGCGTCATCATACGCCGCACTTCGTTCCAGTAATGACCGGATAATATTGAGGGGGCAGCAGTAGTGAGGCATTCAATGTTTATTTTTAAAAATACGAATGAAGTACAAATGACTCATCTGCAGTCAATGCCCCCACCTATTATCAGCATCACTACGACTGCCAATCAGAAGGGACGTATGAGTTGTCGGCCCCCATGCGCTCTTCCTGTTCCTCAGTGTTCTCAGTCAATCAAGCAATTACGATATCCTTGTTGTAACAATTCGCGGATCACCACAGGAATAGCTGAAACATTTTCCCTACTCGAACCCCAGAAATAGTAACGTCGCGATAGGGTGTGTCACACACACACATTTACTATAACTCCTTCTTTTAAAAGATTTGCCATGTCTGTCGTAATCGAACGGGCGCTGATATGACTACTTGGGGTGAAGATGGTCCCTTCCGTATAGTGCCGTATAGGTATGGCTGTTTTGTTGAAATCGGTATATCTCAGTAATAAAAAAAAACACATCGAAAATCAATCTGCTATATTTTTTTAAGCATTCGGGGTGTGACTGTTATTTTGGAAAAGGCCTATGTTAAACGAACACAAACTAATTACGTGATGCATGCTGGATCGTAACACGCTTAGATTTTCTTGGTATAGTTTACGCCACATATTGTTATCTGAAGATTATTACGACAATTTGTATATGAAGTTGTGCCATCCAAAACCACGAATGCTACGACAAAGTCTATCTTTTTTCGACATTGTATAATTCTTTCATTTTTATGCAGAAAACTACAGTATTTTTACCAAGTCATATTTATTAAAGTTTTTGTTCATACATAAGTTGTTAAACACACTACATAGTTTGTAATTTCATCTAGTTTCTCTCAGTCATAATTCAAGACAAATAAAATGCAAACATTCTGCAGTATTCCGGTGCAATCGGTAAATATAAAAATTATCATTGATAGGAAACATTTTTCTGAATTCTCTTGTCAAAATCAGTTGTTTTTATTTGTTTCCCCAAAATGAGAAAGAATTTCTCAGCGTCAAAAACGGTAAATCTTTTTAGTGCTCATGTATGATGTAAGCGAAAGGTGTTGTCTGAATAAAAGTAGTCACGTTCTACTTCGTGCTGAAATCGACTACTACCGGAAGTGACGTGTTTCACAGTGCACTCAAAGTGCGTTAGTGTGCGGCGACATCAAATCAACCGCGAAATAGACAAATAATCTAAGGTGTTGCCATAGCAACACTGTAATTATTCATCATCAAATCAGTAAACAGATTGAGAATATAATTCAGGGTAGTTATAATTTGGCACCAAATGACCATAAAATAATTACTGTATCACGTGATACATTTTGCATCGAATGAACGCAAGGTCATTAACCCTAGATCGACAAAGTTTTGGAATACTGCTGTGCGTGGCCATTTTGTATAGCCCGTGACCCGTCTTGTTGTTTGACGGTTTATATTCGCAAAGAACTTGTACCAACAAAAAAAGAAAGTAACCACTGCCGCTCTGCTCTATATTGGTGATATATGGACCACCGTGACGTCAGGTATATTGGTGGTACATGAACCACCGTGACGTAAGGTATATTGGTGGTACATGAACCACGTCAGGTATATTGGTGGTACATGGACCACCGTGACGTAAGGTATATTGGTGGTAAATGAACCACCGTGACGTCAGGCATATTGGTGGTAAATGAACCACCGTGACGTCAGGTATATTGGTGGTACATGGACCACGACAGCTATATTGGTGGTAAATGAACCACCGTGACGTCAGGCATATTGGTGGTAAATGAACCACCGTGACGTCAGGTATATTGGTGGTAAATGAACCACCGTGACGTCAGGTATATTGATGGTAAATGAACCACCGTGACGTCAGGTATATTGGTGATACATGAACCACCGTGACATCAGGTATATTGGTGATACATGAACCATGTCAGCTATATTGGTGGTAAATGAACCACCGTGACGTCAGGTATATTGGTGGTAAATGAACCACCGTGATAGGTACATCTTGCTTAATTGGTGCTATTAACTTTCGCTTGTCGCTATGCATACCTGTATTTTACTCTGGATTTGACCTGACTAATTATTATCGGTGATTAAAAATATGTTAAATGCGGGGCGTGTCACAGGGCCCTGACCACGGGTGAATAATGAAATAAAGTTGTGTTCGTAGTTTCAGTAATTGGTCCAAAACCATTGACAGCATGTTAAGTAGATCACATGTCGTTCGAAACGTGACGCGAATGAACGTGATTTTATTTTTGTAGTTTTTTTAACTGCAACCAAAGAGAAATAATAACATATATTATAAATATATAACTTCAATTATATGATTAATCTAATAACACTTAAATATAACAGGCACAAGAAAAACATGTCATGTTCATGGTCATGTTTGAACTTGCTAAAACTGTTACAAAGTTCTATAGAGTGAACAAGCCAAGTTCATTAACAGGAGTAGGATTATGTGGAACAAAAGAGCGATTACGACGATATCACGGGCATTAAACACGGAAAGGGCTTATGGTTCCGCTAATACTGATAAAAAATATATATATATATTGAATGTAATGATTTGCGTAAAAATAATAAATCAAATCTACGAGCATCCAATGACAGTAAATTGAGGTAAGTACATAAATACAGAATTACAGAGACAAATAAGAATTAAAGCGCCGTGGTCGTCGCTCGGCGCGTGTTCTAATTCGAATAAGACGCGGCGCAACGACCACCGCCCTTTAAAAAACTTGCATGAGAGTAACCATGCGTTCTCTACACAAGTCACTTGATGGAATCATACAATAATAATCTGCGAAACAATTCTACCCCCCCCCCCTCCGGCGAAAATAATGACCCACCCCTAAACAATGTGCGAGAAATTAAATGAACATTGTTACGTAAAACGGTGGAAAAGAACGGGATAATAACATAATTATTACGTGACTCGCATACATTTTCCCACTTATCGACACGCATATGCCGACTGGTGACGATAAACGTAATTCCGTCGAAAGGTAGGTCACTATAAGTTCAAGAGGTTGATTGACCGATGTCTTTGACTTGGACTATATATACACAAACTACCACAAAAAACAAGAAATGTGCCTCTCTCAACCGACAAATGGCGGCATTCCGTGTTCTCAACCAGTAAAAGTAGGCCGAGGTCGCCAGATTATGCTTATTATACGCACTGTGTACTAGCATTACACGGATAGTGTGTGGGAGTGATCCAGACATCAATTAATATATCTAGGTTCCGTGGCCCATTGCAATGTTTAATTAAATTGCAAATCACTAGTATAATGTAGGCGAGAAACGTGTGATGAAGGCAAGCTAAGTGATGGCGAGAAACAACCGGCAAAAAAATAGATGCTTATACTTGCGTTCGTAAGAAGCAGGACGAACCACAGTCCCTCGATGATATAGAGACTATGGACGAATATAACGATTTTATTAATATGTTTTACCTATATATACAACATTTAAACGTCATCCAGCGTATTTATGGAAATACCAACAATTGTTTATTGGAGGGGGGGCAACTTCGAACGGTTACCATGACGAGGCACGTACACACG